TCATAGTTGTCTTTTTATCACATAAAATGACATATATTATAATAAGTGGGATTAAAATAAGGCTTATTGTGAATAGGGTGACACAAAAAATTATCACAAATTTCCATAAACTAGTGCAGGCACATTCACAAAGCAATAGAAATGCACTAACTAAAATAATTATTTTAGATACCAAAGTTTGCAGGGAACCTGTAAACCAAGATTGCAGGAACGCATTAGAATGGAATCGCAAGAGCATACTGGACACAGAATGCATCACCAGTCCTTGTCCGTAATTACTTTCAGAGATTGTAGGGGATTTGATCTCATCATCTGCTCCTGGCCGTCCAGTTTGGGTTGACGAATACGCTGCACTCCGGCGGACAGCTTCTCCTTCTATCTCCGGCAAATGGCAGCACCTTGTCCACTCATGTAATGTGGCCAGTCCATAATAAACATACCTGCAAAGAAGAATAACGAGAAACAACGTGGCTCGAGACGCGTAAACGCTGTCCTCTGAAAGTATTTCCGGTGAACGGAAATCTTCCCCCAGGATATAACGAGCCCTTCGACAATAAGTCGGTACCAGAACTACGAGGGAAATTATCATAATTATAATCCAGCACAAGCTCTTAAGAACAATCATTTTCAATGATGGCCTTTTAGAAGGTAAACTTTGCAGAGATAATAGTTTCTAGCAGGGGAGTTCGTATATTCCTCTTTTTTTCTACGTACTCTAGTGGCTTTTATCCTATTATTAATATAATAATAAAGAATAGAAAAGAAAGAAAACGGCAGTTGATGATCCTAATAAATAGGAGTAAACCATGGTGAGCCAAGTAACGTGCAAAGCCAAGTAGAAAACATCCTCCATTCCTAATTAATTAGCCTTTCGGTTACTTAAGTTTCAACATTTGTTCAAAATATATTGTTTATTTGAAATAACAAAATTTCCAACATAATCTGCAATTGTAGAGTGTGGAAGGAGCTTTTGGTATCTCGCTCGAGGTTGTCCATCCTTTGATTAAGAATCATGTTTTGATCTTCAATTTGGCTGCCAAGTTTGGTAAATTGAGAATGGAGATTCTCAATGGATGCCTCCATTCTACTATAATGTCTTTCATTTTCAGCTTGAATACTTGTGGTAAAAAACGTCATCATCTCCTCCAAGGTGGATTGAGAGTTTGAAGAACTCCCATGCGGTTTCCAACTATTGTATTGGTTCCCCCTTTGTTGATGAGAAGAGTTGTAGTAGTTGTTACCTCCACGATTCCCCCACTCCTCATAGAAGTTCATGTAATTTATCTCCTCAGTTTGAATAGCATACTCTCGTGTACGAAGAGTGTTCCCTAAGGTGGTTTGTAGGCTTTCTTTCAGTGTTCGTTCCAACTCCAGAAATCTTCTATCAACCACATCACCGATAGATATTTCCTTCACTCGAGAGAACTTCATGTCTCTAGCTTGAAAATGCGGGTTGTAGGCAATAATGGGCATCTTGATCTCATTTGGTGTAGGATTTTTTTTCTTTTTTATGTGTTTGCACACTCTTTTGTCTTCGGGATCAAAGTTTACTTAGATCCTTGAACTTTTATGAGTATGACCGCACATTTTTGTTTAAAAATAAATAAATAAACTAACACTACTACATGAACAAGTGAAAAGCAATGGGAAATGAAAAAATTCAGGATTTTTGTTTTGTTTTGGATTTCATTAAACAAGACCGTTTCCCCGGCAACGGCGCAAAAAATTTGACCGGGCTAAACTTGCAAGTGTACAAGTGCCGATATAGTAATAAATTCCGGTAAAATACCGGGTCGAATCCACAAGGAAACGTTGTTTAATTCAAGTCCGAGAGTAGATAACTTTAAATGAAGAATTGAATAAAGTGCAGGGATTTTGATTTGTGTTTTATATTTTTGGTTTTTTCACTTTTTGTTCAACAAGATAATCGTTAACTAACTTTAAGTTTAAGATGAATGATAACAACAACTAAGACTTCCGGAATCACTTAAATGCTTTAATAGGGTTGAATATATTAGTTCTTTACCAATAATTATGAATACGATGTCGCTAATATATTCTCAACTCCGGTTAAGGCAGCGAGAGCGTGGTTTTCGTTACGTGTAAGTCCCGTTACGGCTTACATTCATCTACCGAAAACCCCGTTGAATATCAAGACATCACACCCGTATCATATAAGACCGGATATATTTCTATTCTCGGTACTATATATGTTTATCCTTTAATGTTCATAGTTTAGACTTCAACGTTAATTGCAAGTATAAACCAAATTTAACATACTTCTATGTTGTACACCATAGTCATAAACAATCAATATATAAAGGATAAATCACAATTTATTGGTTTAGAACTTTTATCAAACACCTAGTGGGCATAGAAGTTCATCCCTAGCCTTAGCTAAGAAATTAGCCTCTAATGCTCATATTAATCACAATACAATAATCAATGTAATGTAACATGAAATTACAAAGGAAATAATACCTAAACACCAATGATTTCGGAGGATGAACTTCCCTCCTCAAAACTTGAAGAAAATACCAAGAACAAAAATATAAAAGCTAAGAATTAATCTATGGAATGGAATGTGTTTGTATGATGAATTGAGGACTTTATATAGGCTAAAGAATGACATCTTTTAGTCTATTCGAACCCAACAATGAGGTATGGAAGCAATATTTGATTAGCATTGAGGAAGATGGGGTTTTCCCATCAAGAATCAGCTTGTACGATGTTGTTTTTTAGCAGAAAATAGACCCAATCGGCGCCGGTTGGTCAGATGACCGGCTCCGGTTGAAAACAGGCTCATTTTTGCGAGAAAAAACGTTCCGACCGGCGCCGGTATAAGACCGACCGGCGCCGGTTGCTGCGCCCAAAAATGTACTTCATTTCTCTTCCTCCGAAATGGATCAAAAAGTGTCGGTTTTTGTACCGGGATTTTGGAGATGTTCCGCTACGAATTTGGACATGATTCCTTCACCAAAGTTGTAGATAATGAAGTCTTCTATCCAACAAAACTTGAATGACGTGATTTTATTCATCCAATCAACAGATATGGATAAAACACTGAGAGGTATGCACCCTGAAATCCCACCAGCAACATCTGACTTTATCGGTTGATTGAGTATTTTTCCTTTCCTATTCTGGCCATGATGTCTTCATAACATTTGTACCTTATTGAGTTACCATTCACATGAAATTCGAATGAAGTGATTTCGAGTTCTCTACAATACGTTATACTCAAATGATAGGCAAAATGTCATCCTTTTGGTCCCAAAAGCCGTTCATCACAATGTTTTATGCTCTAACTCTCATTCTCAAGATATTTTCCCAATTTCTCTTCTTTTCTTCAACAAATACTTATAAATACTTATGTTAAACACAAGTAAATATAACAGCTATCATCTAATCCTGATGATCGAATCGGGGATACTTGTCTGGTTGATGGTCTACGAGTTCTTTATAAATCAATATATAAGTCTTTTCCATTCAAAAAGAAATTATTTTGTTTTATATTTCGGGTCAATAAGGATTTATATAATGTTGTTTCCTATTTGGAATTAATTAGGATTCCTATTCTGGAATTAGTAGAAGGGTATTTAACCCCATTAATTAGGGTCCACTCTTGTTTTATGAGTTAATAAAATTGGCTATTAGCCTGATGACTTTGGGCAACGTTTTCTTGTGTTGATGACTTTGGGATATGTGTTTGTAAAAATATTTAAAAATAAAAAACAAAACAAAATTGGAACCAGTTTGCTTTCCCTTGAACGAATATATTGTTCCCCTTTTATGTGTGCATATATAGGGTTTGCTTCCCCTTATAAACAAACCAAAAGGACTATATTGTACTAATAGATGAGACTTCATGTCAGGCCGGCCTGATGGGGGCAGCCATCCGGCCAAGCCCGTTTGACGGTTTTCTCGGTGGAATTTTTCGATTAAATTTTTTTAGCATCTTCCTCATCAATTCTAGTTTATCCATATCAAATTTCAGCTAAAAATTAAATTGGGAAGGCATTCAAATGTGTTTTTCAAAAATACGCAGTGTTCTTAAACAATTTATTGGACTGTCTTCCCGGTTGAATTTTTAGCTGAAACTTGGTATGGATAAACTAGACTTGATGTAGAACATGATCAAAAAAATTCATCAAAAAAATCCAGCAGGAAGAGCCCCATCGCTACTCTGTACTACTCCCTACGTCCCTTAAAACTTTGCCACTTTCTCTTACCGGTGGGCGTAGGTCAACTAGTAGCGACTAGCGAGGGAGTGCCACAAAGGTTAGGTCCCGGATTCGAATCCCGTCAACTGCAATAAAACATTACTGTGCCAAAATGCATAGGGCCTCTGCAAGTACCGGGGACAGAGCCCCATTATCTATCTGTCAGATTGGGACTATAGTCCAATTTACATCCTGCCAACGTACCGTCCGATCAGGGTTGAGGGCCCTCAGGGATGGGGTGTCATCTTTGTCACTTTCTCTTTTAATCAATTATTTTGTGGTTTCGGTTATTTCTCTCCTCTGCACTAGGTATGGACTCGGGCCGGGTGGCCCGACCCGGAACCGGCCCGGGACCGGTACTGTTCCGGCCCGGCCCGACCCGGTGGCCCGGTCAGTGACCGGTCCGGATAGGCCCGGCCCGTGGGTTTTCCGGTCCGGGCTCGGGTCACCCAAAACAAGGCCCGACCCGGCCGGGCCCGAGCCCGGTTCGGGCCAAAAACAATTTTTTTTTTGTTTTTGCAATTTTTTTTAAAGTTTTGGGTTGGGCTGGGTATTTTGGGCCATTTGGGGTGGTTTGGGGGTTGGGGGTGGGAGGGGGGTTACTTAGGAAGAGGAAAACAAAAAAAAAATTATAATGGGCCCGGACCGGACCCGGACCGGACCGGACCCGGTGGTTACCCGGGCCGGTCCCGGGTCCACCATTTCTGACCCGCCGGCCCGCCCGGGCCTAGGCCCGACCCGGACCCGGCCCGGACCCGAGTCCAACCCTACTCTGCACAATTCTCAACCACACAATTTTTACTTTATTATTCTCCGTGTCAGTCAACTTTGGCAAAGTTTTAATGGACGGAGTCACGGAGGTAGTACTATATTTCATCGTCTATATAAGTCATAAGAAAGAGGGTACATGATCGATCACATAGGGTTGTACTATTGTAGTAACAAACCACATGTCAACCAGTGATTTATAAGAATTGGTATCCAACATCACATAAAAGACCGGGAGAATTGAAGAAAAAAGATAGTTTAACTCACAATTGGACCAGAACCGCCTATCCACCATCACATACAAGTGCACGATTTCCATTGCGCACAATTAATTTACTGTAATTTCATACTTCAAAGCACATAACATAATTGCAAACACTAAGATCTGCGGAGTTCCCCGTATAATTTTTTCTACTTCATGCAACAAAGGTGAGTGGCGCCCAGCGAGGAAGAGATGGGATTTTGCAAGTGAGAAAGAAACTACTTTGACACAAATAAGATACAGAACACTTGCCCCACAACCTATCAGCTTCCTAATGCACAACATCAACAACTTGATCGTTATGATAAAGTTTCCAAATGTCAGACATCATCATTATGCAGGATAGGTTCCCGCACCATAGGTTTCCCGCACCATATGGTACTGATGCTGATCACAGCTTTAAAGCACTTGAGCCTCCGCCTCCACCTCCGCCGCTACCGCCACCACCCATCGTGTTGGTTTCTCCCATTCCTCTAGACGCCAAAGCAAGAACTTCTGGTGACATCTCCCAGCTCCCGCTTTTCCTTCCCCAACTTGACCGTCGTGGATGATGCATTGCTGCTCGGTCACCTTCATCAACTGTTGTTCTTATCTCCTTGATGTCGTTGTTGTCACTCAGTTGACCACCACCTTCGTGGGGCACAACATCACCACCGCCCCAAACTGCTTTCCTTCCCATTTCTATGTCATCCACAGCCTTGCCCATATTTGGACTCACGAAACCCCCCCCAGAGGTGTGTCGGGCAGGTATTGCAGGATCCCTAGGCACCTTTGCCCTGAAATCATTTTTTGATGGAGGGACAGAAGTAAAAAATATCTCCATGAAGTTCTGCAGCACTCCTTTGTTGTATGGGTTCGCTCGCCTGTCGTAACGGTATCTGAAGTTCTCATATGTTGTCTGCACAATAAATTCAGTGTTGATGTTCTGAGGGTGAGAAGTTACATATCATTTGGAAATGCTTTTGATTTTTGTTCTTTTCTAAAGAGCTTGTTTGGGAGACGAAAAATTTATAGGGAATGAAAAGTTCAAAGTTCAACATCAATAAATCAAATTATAGATATTTGATCGGACCGATTTTATTTTAACATTTCTACTACTCTGTATATAGAGATTAAAATTTTAAATATATGTAACTGATCTAATCACATTTGTTTGTTTTTGTATTTTCCAAGGTCAAACTAAACTGAAAATTAATATCATATTCGTTACCAACCATTTTCCTTTCCCTGTCGTTCTCTTGGTCCCAAACATAGCACAAAATGCGTTATTGTACGATGTTTTCCCGGGTTTTTCACTAATATTACTCAAATGCTAGTTTGGACAAAAAAGAGATCATTAAGAATAAAAAGTAACTAAACAAATCCTGAAAATGGAAACTCATAAAAGCACGAGATGAAATTACCCTCTCAATGCCCAAGTGACATCCCCACTAACACAACTGAAATCCGACGTCCCGCCCGGTGACACCAAGAAGGCCCTATCCTCCAGTCACCAGAGTCCGGTGACACTGCAGAAAGCCTCAGTGACCCACCGACGCTCGCGTGACCCAGTGACTCACTGACATCCAACAGTGACCAGAACACCAGTGACTCAACACCTCAATGAGCCCCTAACCCCTGCGACCCAATGAACAATCGCCCAGGTGACTTCTTGCCGCCGCCAGTGACCCTCAGCGGTTGACCCGATGCGGACATTGCCGCCCTAGCTCCCAGTTTCCACCCACCATCATGACGCCACCCAGTTGACTCACCGTCCCCACCACTTTCCCCGCAATTGCTCCTCACTCCCCAACCCCCTGCCCCATCATAGCCCGAACTCCCTCGCACCTTCCCCAACCTTTGCCCTAACCCCTAATCCGAATCCTACGCACAGCACCGCCATGAAACCCTAGCCTCCATGTAACCCTAGCTGATGCCCTCCTGTAATCCCAGCCACCATCCAAGTTTGTAGTTCTAGTCTAAATGTTTATGTTAAAGAAATTATAGGTCTTTGTACCGGCTTATGTTCTACAGAAGTACAGAGTAATACTTTTATTAGGGGTGTTTAAAATGTAGTTTATCTGTCGCAAATGGTTACTAATATGGAGTACTTGTGTAATTTTTTTCTTTTTTTCCCTCATGGAATTTTGTAAGTAGTTGAAGACATAAATTTGAATTTTTTGTGTTTGGGGAAATAACTTTAAATAATTTGAACTATCTTCCAAGAATAATACATACTTTGGAAATAAATTTTAAAAATACCAACTATAGGTCTTTGTAGTTCCAAGTTTGTAGTTCTAGTCTAAATGTTTATGTTAAAAAAATTATAGGTCTTTGTACCGGTTTAAAATGTAGTTTATCTGTCGCAAATGGTTACTAATATGGAGTACTTGTGTAATTTTTTTCTTTTTTTCCCTCATGGAATTTTGTAAGTAGTTGAAGACATAAATTTGAATTTTTTGTGTTTGGGGAAATAACTTTAAATAATTTGAACTATCTTCCAAGAATAATACATACTTTGGAAATAAATTTTAAAAATACCAACTATTTGATACGAAACAAAAGTGATACAAAGCAGCATTTCACTAAAAAGTACTACCTCCGTCCCGAAAAGGTTCGCCATATTGACTTTTCTCGGTCAATGATGACAAACTTTGGATAATGATTTTAATTATTATATTTGTATATAATTTATAAATTTTATACTTTTATGAAAATATTTTGAATAAGGAACATTTTGATATAATTTTCATATTCAAAATAATTTCGTATTAAAAGATATCATTGGTCAAAGTTGAGTATCATTGACCAAGAAAAGTCAATTTGGCGAACCTTTCCGAGACGGAGGGAGTATATCATTTAACTTATCAAAAACTCATTTTAAAATATCAACAAAGTGAACCTATTTCCAAATACGGAGTATCATTTATTTGATGGTTTGATATGACTTTTTGATGTCTTAAATGACTGAATTTGTTGTCAAAAAGTAGCTTCATATTATTTTTGTTATGTATACACATTGTTTTCACCAAGGGTGTTAGGGAAATGGAGTTTCAGCTAAAAATAGCAGTGTGACCCCTTTTTAGCGTTTTCATTAGATTGAAATGTTGTTTGGTAAATAGTTCTTCGGAGCTAGAGTTTTTGGACAGAAAGGCTGAAATAGAAACGCTATAAATAGCGGTGTTTTGGATTATTGTTCGGAAACAAGGCATTACTTACAAATTGCTAAGGCCAAACAGCTAAATCATCAAACATTTTTTGCAACTCGTCAACTCATTCCGCTAGTCAAACCCGCTCATTGAATCTGCTATTAACAACCTACTAACATAATCTGCTATCTATTAACCACTAAATGCCAAACACCCCCACTATTCAGGAATAGATAGAGTTATGTACAAAACAGACATGTCAAGGATGTTTAATATTTTAAGGAATTGAACAAGAACCAAACACCAAAAAGTGAAAACATAAACACGAGAAACGTTATAAAACAAACCTTAATATAATCAGAACCACAGTCCATGAATACTTCTTGAGATTTAAGGAATTCTTTTTACCTGATTTGTACTGATGAGGTATAAATGGAACGCAGTAAGACCACCAACAAACCACACTGCAATAAAGGTGTAAGCTATTAGAACCATAGAAGCTGGGGTTTTGATCATTGCCTTCCATATTGTCGTCTCTTCAGCACCCATGATCCTTTTAATGTAGACCCAGCAGAAACCAAATACATATATACAAAGAAGCGTGGTGGAGCAGACAAACATGAAAAAGAACCGGTAGTTCCTCTGCACCCCCACAAAAAAAACATCATGTTTTCTGAAAGCAAATTCATGGAGAAAAACGGATAAGAGCTTGTTTGGTTAGGAGATTTTTCATTTATTATTTTATATCTATTTTTTACTCTTAGACAATAAAAATAACTACTAGAGAGTACTACCTCCAACCCTTCCCAAAAACATCTTGTTTTTACCACGGTACAACTATTGAAAACCATCAATTCTAGTTAATTTTTTTGTTCACTTGTCTAAATTTAACTTGTTTAAGGAGCGTTTTTCTCTTTTTGAAAAGCTACATTTTATAAATAAAATAGTAACTTCTCTTTGTTCAATTAGGCTTTTTTCTTGAGACAAAAATAGTTTTTGAAATAAGAATTTCTTTTTGGTGGACTAAGGGAGTACATGTTTAGTTAAGTGATGCATTTCTACACAATTGTTTTCTACACTTTCTTTCCCACATCTAAATTTAAAGATAAGTTACAAAAACAATGTCACTCTACACCTTTGGCCCTACCCCCCTCTGAAATACTCCTACAACCAAACCAAACAAGGGAAGCAACTACACAATTGATATCAACAGTAACTGGTGCAAAATAAACATTACCAGCCCAATACACTGCCCGACCCAAGGGCAATGGTGGTCAAATCTTTCAACGCAATTGTTGCATATCGAACAATGAGAGCAGCGAGGTGGTCTGTAGAGCATGCAGGTGTCACAATATTTAACCTTCACAGTAATGCCATTAACCTCAACCTCTTTAATCCGAGGTAGGCGTAGCTGTGGGGTTTGTCCACCAACTTCAGCGGCGTTTCCATCAAAGTCTTTTGGTTCTGGGGGGTGTGCGTTACGTGGAACTATTCCCGGATCTCTTCCTGAAGTTAGCAGGAGAAGAACCAAAACCTGAAGGATTATATTGCCAAAACAAGATATACTTAGATGATGACCATAAATTGAATAGATAGTAGGGTGGAAAACCAAAACTGGTATGAGAAGTGTTGTAAGAATTAAAGATAGAATAGTAATGAGAAGAATGATTTTTGTGTGTTTTTCATTGGAGGGTCAAGCCCATATATATATACATTACAAAGATAGAATATTCCTTTAAGATTCTATACAATAATAATATCCTAGAGTATATTCCTAAAATATTCTAAAGCATATTCTAAAGATAGAAGAATATTCTAAAACATATTCTAAAGAATATTCTATAATGTCTTTCACACTCCTCCTCAAGTTGGAGCATAAATATTTATCATGCCCAACTTGTTACATAAGTAACCAACACGAATTCCATTTAGTGCTTTAGTGAACAAATCTCCAAGTTGCTCTCCAGTCTTCACATGTCCTGTAGAGATCAATCCTTGTTGTATCTTTTCTCGAACAAAGTGACAATCGATCTCAATATGTTTTGTTCTCTCATGAAACACTGGATTGTTGGCAATGTGTATAGCAGCTTGGTTATCGCACCAGAGTTTAGCAGGCATTGGTGTCTTCAATCCCATTTCACTCAATAAATGGTTTATCCAGATTATCTCACATGCCGATTGTGCCATAGCCCGATATTCTGATTCAGCACTCGAACGAGAAACCACATTATGCTTCTTACTTTTCCAAGAGACGAGATTACCACCAACAAAGACGCAATAGCCAGATGTGGATCTTCTATCATCTTTAGATCCAGCCCAATCAGCATCTGCAAAGCATTCTATTCTCATGTGATTATGATTCTGATAAACAATACCTCGTCCCGGTGTCCCCTTCAAGTAACATAATATATGCTCTACAGCATTCCAATGATCCACTGTCGGAGATGACATGTATTGACTTACTACACTCACTGAGTATGCAATATCTGGACGGGTAACTGAGAGATAATTAAGTTTTCCAACCAACCGTCTATATCTTTCCGGATCTTCGAATGGCATACCTTCATGAGTGAGTTGTACATTGGGAATCATGGGAGTACTGCTTGGTTTTGCCCCCAATTTCCCTGTTTCAGTTGGTAAGTCAAGCACATATTTACGTTGAGATAGAAATATGCCTTTCTTACTCCGTGTAACCTCAATTCCCAAGAAGTATTTCAATGAGCCCAAATCTTTCGTCTGGAATTGACTATGAAGAAAATTCTTTAGGGCCAAAATACCTGTATTATCACTCCCTGTAATCACAATGTCATCGACATACACCACAAGCAATGTAATACCTGTTTTCGTTTGTCTGTAAAATACAGAGTGATCTGATTTGCCTTTTATCATCCCAAATCGTTCAATTGATTGGCTGAATTTCCCGAACCATGCACGGGGACTCTGTTTCAAACCATAAAGAGACTTGCGAAGTCGACAAACTTTCCCATACTCCCCCTGAGCAACAAACCCCGGAGGTTGTTCAATATAAACTTCCTCCTGAAGATCACCATGCAAGAATGCATTCTTAATGTCCAATTGATGTAAGTGCCAACCATGAGTTGCTGCGAGAGAAATAAGTAATCTGACAGATGTTAATTTAGCAACAGGAGAAAATGTGTCAGAATAATCAACGCCATAGGTTTGAGCATAACCCTTCGCAACTAATCGGGCTTTCAATCGAGCAACGGATCCGTCAGGGTTAACCTTTACAGCAAAGACCCACTTACATCCTATAGACTTCTTCCCTGTAGGCAAGTCTACCAAATCCCAGGTACCATTAAGATCCAAAGCATTCATTTCCTCTACCATGGCATGACGCCAATCAGGATGAGACAAAGCATCTTTAACAGATTTGGGAACAGAAATAGAATCAATGGAAGCAATAAAAGAACATGAGGCAGATGATAACTGATTATACGACACACATGAAGAAATAGGATGAGTACAAGACCGTGTACCTTTACGTAGTGCGATGGGGAGATCAAGATCTGATGTAGAGACAGGATCTGAAGATGCAGGTGTCGGTTCAGGATATGAGATCGGATCAGTATCAGGAGAAGTAACCACAGGTAGAGGGTGATCTTGCACTTTGTGTCGACGGGTGTATACCAAGTGTATCGGAGGCCTAGGCTCAGGAAAAGTAACATGGGGAAGAACTGCTGAAGTATTGGACTCGGGTATAGTGACTGTGTAAATGAGTATATCATCATTCTCCCTACAGATATTTGTGTCTGTTGATGAAAATGGTGTATTTTCATAAAAGGAGACATCAATTGAAACAATATACCGACCTGTACTTGGAGAAAAACATCTGTACCCCTTTTGAACTCGAGAGTAGCCTAAGAAAATGCACTTTAATGACTTGGGATCTAACTTTGTTAAATGGGGATTAACATCTCGTACAAAACAAGTGCAACCAAAAACTTTAGGAGGAATAGGAAAATTTTCATTATTTGGAAATAGGCACTGATATGGAGTTTTACCATCTAAAACGGTAGATGGCATTCGATTGATCAAAAAACATGCGGTAGACACAGCATCTGCCCAAAAATGTTTTGGCACATTCATTTGGAATAGAAGAGCCCGCGCAGTTTCTAATAGATGTCTGTTTTTTCGTTCAGCAACTCCATTTTGGGGAGGTGTGTCTACACATGAAGTTTGATGAATTATGCCATGTTGAGCCATATACAACTTAAATGAGGCAGACAAATACTCTTGAGCATTGTCTCCCCTTAAAATACGAACATGTACATTAAATTGAGTTTTGATTTCAGCACAAAAGGCACAAAAATGAGAAAATAACTCGGAACGACGTTTCATGAAATAAATCCAAGTCATACGAGAATAATCATCAACAAAGGTAACAAAATATTTAAAACCAGATTTGGACACAACAGGGCAAGCACCCCAAACATCAGAATGAACCAGTTCAAAAGGAGCATGTGCTCGTTTATTGACTCGAGGACTTAGACTACTTCGATGATGTTTTGCAAATTGACACGAATCACACTGTAAAGATGACACCTTATTGAATTGAGGATAAAGCTTCTTTAACAACGGAAGAGAAGGGTGACCTAGTCGATAGTGAGCCTCTAACACAGTTCCAATGCCAAGACAAGAGATTGATTTGGGTAAGGATGTATCCAAGAGATAGAGACCGGCCGACTCATATCCTTTACCAATAACCTGATTCGTCAACAGATCCTGAAATACACAATATCCAGGAAAAAAGGTTACGGAACAATTAAGTTTACGTGTGATTTTGCTGATCGAAATCAAATTGAAAGCAAAATTTGGAAGACTTAGGACGGGTGACAAAGGTAAGGTAGGTGTTGGGACAATTGTACCCGTACCAAGAACGGGTGACGTAGATCCGTCAGCTAAAGTCACACTAGAAGAATGAAGAGGTGTGTGGAATGAGGAAAAAAGACTAGGATTACCTGTCATATGATCTGTTGCTCCTGAATCGATAACCCATTTTGAGGATGAAGATACAAGACATGTGTTTGGATTACCTGAATTAGCTACAGCTGAGATAGGAGTAGATGAATGCTTTAGAGCCTCCTGGTAACCTAGGAATTTGGCATATTCCTCCGAAGACATAATGATGGATCCATTAGATGGCTGTGTAGCGGAAGCAATGTGAGCAACTTGATTTCCTTGATTTTTGAACTTTAGCTTTCGACAATCTTTGATCAAATGTCCGGGTTTCTTACAGTAGTTGCATACTACTCCTTTGCCAATCGGTCCTGTGCGTGGCCACTTCTCACCTCCATTGGGGAATGTTGGGACTTGTCCCACAAAAGCATTGCTTGGCTGAGGTGCTGATGATGTGGATGAAGTGTCAGTGCGAAGCACTCTACTGAAAGCATCTTGAAGAGAAGAGACCACATCACTAGATAGGATATGTGATTTGGCTGTTTCAAAATCAGACGTAAGACCAGCCAAAAAGCTCATGACTGCCATTTGTTCGCGTTGTTTCTGCTGCACTTTGATATCAGGACTAAAGGGCATTAAGGTATTAAGTTCTTCATACGTTTTCTTGAAATCCATAAAATAAGCTGTGAGAGGCTTATCTTTCATTTCTGCCCTGTAAAAGGCTTTGCACACCTCATAGATGTGGTTAAGATTACCTTTGCCAGAATACATAAATTCCAAATAATCAAAGAGTTCTTTCACAGTATCACAATGACTAACATACCCCATGACGTCATTCTCCATGGAGTTCTGAATCTGGATAAATAATCTAGAATCATCACGAAGCCAGACAGCATTAGCAGCTCTATCAATCTCCTCCTTTGGCGGGTCATCAACTAAGTGGGTGTATTTATCAATGCTTCGTAAATAACGTTTGATAGTTTTACTCCATTCAAGATAGTTAGAGCCACAAAGTTTATTCTCAGTAATTTTAAAATTAATGGGAATAACTTCGGAAACTACCAAAGGCTGAGCATGTTGTACGGTGGAAGTGTCTGTATCAGAACCAGGCATTTTTTTTTTTGATTTTTTTTTTTTTTTGACTTTTTTTTTGACTTTTTTTTTAATTGCAGAAATAAGATGCTATGTATTAAGTAAACTTACAGCGACCAAAATACTATCCTTGAATGTCGTTGTTACTTAATAAGCAAAGTCACAGAAAGATAATACCGTTCAAGACACCGGAAAATAGTTCTGATGGATTCTCCGACGATTGGGTCTGCGATTAGGTCTGCGAGGTCCTCTGACGGCGCGTGTGGCCTGCGGATTTCGAGTGTAAGGTCGGCGGCGGAAGGCGTGACTGCTTAGGGTGGAGGTGATGCTATGTGAAACTGTGGATTTTGGACTGAGGTTCTGAATTTTGGGCTAAGGTTCTGGCTGAGGCATGAACTGAGATTCTGAAAAATACTGCTAAGCTAAACTGGAACAGATTGCTCTGATACCATGTTGTAAGAATTAAAGATAGAATAGTAATGAGAAGAATGATTTTTGTGTGTTTTTCATTGGAGGGTCAAGCCCATATATATACATTACAAAGATAGAATATTCCTTTAAGATTCTATACAATAATAATATCCTAGAGTATATTCCTAAAATATTCTAAAGCATATTCTAAAGATAGAAGAATATTCTAAAACATATTCTAAAGAATATTCTATAATGTCTTTCACAAGAAGTATTAACAAAATAACGAATTGCATGTAATGAAGTAACATCACTGGAACGTTATATAAGAATCACCCAAGAAACCCACAACTTAATCTGAAATTAGGCTAGGCTACATGGATTCTACTTCTTCCATAGTATAGGATTATGGGCAGCATAGAATAAATCTTCCATGTGTACTTGATGAGCCCGATTGTAAAGTCATCAAAATTGCACACCAATATGCTCCCCGGGTAAAAATGATGCTAGATGAACCCCAAGTCCAATAAACAATAAAAGGATCATTGTAGTCCGTAATCATTCAGCCATCAATGTCTATGGACAACATTCTGCGCGGGGGGGGGGGGGGGGGGGGTATCGAATGCTCACACTTAAACACACGTTAGAGTATCTAGACAGATATCCCACTTTTGAACTCATAACTTTAATTTCAAGGAATGACAAGGTCCTCAAAATTTATAGAGGTGTACAGCACATTGAAACACCTCACTTACTCTGTGTTTGAAAAAACAAATATAGAGGGAGGGGAAGGAGGTGATATAGGCATATCTATAATTATTATTATTATTGTTTATCACTATTTTTATCACTACTAATTAGTAGTAGTTCCAGTGGTATTATTATTTTTATATTCTCGCTTAGTTTTAGCCAGCTTCTTATAGTCTCTAGCTTTATGTTTTCTATTGTGATTAGGGCTCTTGTTGTAATATAGCAATACAAAGGTCACCAATATTGATAAATGAATTATGTTCGAAGAATTAAATCTTGACAAGGTCCGGAACTGATTACTTCTAGCTTAGACTTATTTTGTTCTTCCGCTCTCCGAATCTCTTTTCCCAATATTCCAAATGAGTTCCCAACCATGCTCAAGCAGTAGGTAGATGAGAGATGAAAGAAGAGAAATAGAAGGGGGGTTTGTTTCTTAATAACAAACAATTTGTTACCCTTGCAACATCTATACATTATCATAATAAATGAGGGTAAAATGGCGAAATACGTGCATTTCCCTTCATTTGTCCTCACTCTAGAACGGTATGAGGAGCGTCAGAATCAGTGCCATTTCTCTGTAATTTCCACTCCACCAAACCAGAGGTATTTCTTTGCTATCAAACATGGGCTTAATTGCATCATCCTGTTCAAATGCACTGATATGGTCCCCTACTCAGCTTACATGTTCCAAGATTCACCATTGCAAGCTTCCTCGTGTGGCGGTGCTGTTTAAGGAGTATCTTATCTAGTAATCTTATATATTAACCAGAAATAAAGGACATCTGAGCTATGATGAGGGCTTGCAGGAAATTCAACTTATCTGCAGGGAAATATATGGTCCATCTACCTTTTATACAGTTGAGTTAATTGGTCAAAGCCCAAAGGCAGTACAAAGAATTGAGAATAATCATATACTCCGTAGTTTTCACCACTATTATAAACAGAAAGCATCTAAACCAGAGGAACACCATGCTTTACACTCAAGTTATTCACTTGATATCCGAAGAAAATGAAGCAGGGAGTGGAACATCCTCACTTCCATTTTTCAATCTTTGAAGGCAGTAAATGAAAGTTAACAACAACAGTTTTTGTGCAAAAAAAGGAAGAAGAAAACGCTTACATAAAATGTAAATACCACTGCCACAACCATAATTGATATTCCCCAGTCATTAGGAAAATCATCAGATAGCTTTCTAGCAACAAAGACACAGAAAACTGCAACAGGGGCTACAATAAGGAAAACGGTCAACGCTAATGATCTGGCATCTGGTCCAAATATAAACCTTCCCTGAAGAAAAAATCTCTGCAAACAGAAAAACATGTCAAAGAAAAAAGAAAATTCAGTAACGGGAATGCCATAACCTTATACCACCAATAACTGTAAATCAAGAGAAATATCAATAGGGACAAAAAGATTGTAGAAAAAAACAATTACAAGGACTTAATTGAATTGTTGATGACGAAAAATCAGCAAGGACAGTTTTAATGAATATTGGACAGCTGGATGTAGAAAAGGCACAAACATAACAACTTTGGATCAAATTTCTACTCACATATCCGGATCAAATGTGCTGACTTGAAGGTCTTTTTCTAATTCCAAGTGGAGAAACTGAAAAGTAAAAAAAGAGGCTACATACAAAGAAAAATAGTCCGGATGATACACCATTTTGGATTGGAAATTCTCAAATGTTTCTGGTTTTCAAATCTTGCAGGAATTTTCGAACAAATGTTCATGTTTTTCAGGAAAACGGAAGCAGCTCTTCATATTTCCTTTTAGAAAGGTAACAAGTAAACAACAAAAAATCTAATTTCTAAAGACCTGGGAAACTGGACTAGAAAATATTCCAAAGAAACCTTGGCATCTCAATATGATATTCAGTAAATACAGCTTGAGTTAAAGCTCTATTAACGGAAGGTGGAAGATCTACATAAACCCACCTTTGGCAGTTATTTTCAACTCAGCTAGGCTTTTGGTTCATTTACAGTAATGACAGTATACAACTGATCCACATACAAAGCCCTCGGGTTCAAGTTCGTTCCACTTGACACTGTATTCTAATGCTCTTGTGTTCTTGTGTTCAATGTGCTATCAGAGATGATATTAGACTATATCATTTGCATAAGTACACCTTAAATTTGAAGATAACTAAGTGCTTAGAACACTAATCAGTACTCCACAGTAGCTCAAGATTCCAATTAAGTGATTGACAACTAACATAAGAGAAAAGCTGCTCAGTAAAAAAGTTAGGTAGAGCGAAACTGATAAACAGTAACTAAGAAACATTGCAGAGGAAAAGAGTATCCTTGGAGAGTGAAACTGACATTGCTGCCTTTCCATGTCTGGTAAATTCGCAAATCGTCGGAGCCATTGGTGGATCCAGATGGTGGATCGGACCCTTTTGGAGGTGGAACGACGTACATCTCTCAGCTCCTCGCACTTCACCCAAATCTCCAGCGCAATTAACTTGTAGTTAAATGCAATTACAGTCCTCCCACGGGCGAGAGCATACTCGAGGCTAAAAAGGGAGAGTGGGTAGAAGTTGTGGAACCTTCCGGGGATAAATTTACAGATCCCGGTGAACTGCCGCCGATGGCAAGTCTTACGTGAGGCGGACGGAAGGGGAAGAACTAAGATGGTCGTCGATTCATCTTTTTCTTATGCGAGATTCGGCGTGGGAGTTGAAACCTTTACAGGTTGGTCAAACCGACGTGGCTGCTAACTATTGGACTATGTGGGGCCCGTACGGACTGCACCCCTTTGTCTATATCTCCCTGTCGCCGCTTCAGCTCGCTAGTCGTTTAGGCCGTGTTTGGTTTACAAGAAGGGAAATTTATGCATATAAGACTTAAACTTATTAAGTTTCCAGAATTAGGATTAGAAGCTGGCGTAGGATTTAACTGTAATTGTTTTGACTATATTACCTCTATTTTAAAATGAGATAGCAGGCCACTTAAATAAACTTGTCGGTTATAAACGGTAAACTTTGGCAAACAACGAAGAAACCAACTTCGCTCATCGGATCCGGAAAATTGTAGACGACAGAACGAAATTGTTCTTGAGAGCTTTGAAATCACAATCGAAAAGGACGACAACAAAGCAAGTCGACTATGAAGAAAACTATCGAAGAAAACTTAGGTTGTAAGAAGAATAATGGCGAAGAGAAAAAACAGAGAACAGACATTAAATAGACAATAAATAGACAATAAGTAGACAATAAATAAACAATAAATTTTGATAACTATAATTTGATTGCAGAGTAGGAAACAGATGGTTCGATGTTTCCAGTGATGAAATTACTTTGAGAGGTTGTCAAGAATATCCGTAACAACCATACAAAAATTGAAAATGATTGCCGATCGATTAAGATGAGATGGAGAACATATCGTAGGGCACTAAGGATGAGGTCCTCTGAAAACCCTTTGGAAAGTCGCTCTTCATCAGGCTTCTCAGAGAATAGAGGGGAAACGACTTTATAACGACGCAGAACTTCTGGGACTCAAGATCTGTGAAGTGGTGCCTGCTTGCTTCCGTCCGTTCTTTGCCGCTGCTTGTTTCCGTCCGTCTGCAGGTGATAAAATCCACGCAAATCGTCACTCTGCGTTTAATAACACTGAGGGTAAAAACGAAAAGTTAAAAGCAACCTTCCTAATACGGAACCAAATAAAACCCATGGCTAGAAATAAAACAAGGAAGCCCTAATTTTGGAAAGGATCTATGATTTGGTCCTATTAACTGCAAATTTCTCTTACAAGAAAGGGAGAGACGGGGAGGCACTTAAGGATTTTGGTCGGGAGGAAATGAGATGAAAACTCACTAGAATAAATAAATATCCTAATTTGCCCTTGTTTTGCAGAGCTAAATAATTATAATGAATTCAATTATTATTACCTAAGTTCATAAATCATGATAATATATGAAAATTAGATGAAACACTCTATAGTCCCATAACTAACTGTTTTTTATTGAAATTATTTATTAAAAATTTCTTCTTATGTAAATATAAAAATACTAATTGATGGAGTATATTCCCGTACACTTCAAGGCTATCAACATTTAACATGAATGATCTCTAGAATCCACTAAGACAATTCCGGTCAAGGCTGAGCTCCAAAACAATTCTCAAATCATCAAAATAAGTCCAAAACTGCAACTCAGACCGAGGTTGACCCTCAACGATATTTGTGACAATTCCAGCACTGTGACCGAGTTTCATGCCAACTACCGTACTACGAACTTAAAAGATCAACAAAGATATTATTGTTTCACATTATAAGTCGAGGTTACTTGCCTCTTGTCCATCACTACTCACAATTCATAATTGAATTAACAATAGAATTGAGAATGAAATGATTAATTGTCATTAATTAAAAAGATTGAACTTACAAAGAATTTCAAAATCTTGACAATCCAAGGCTGAAAAGCTCGACTATAGGAATCTATCTCCTCATGAGCTATTTATGTTGATGGATCTAAAAAAAACCCATATGATATTTTCATATGTCTTTAAGATAGGGACAACTAAACATAACATGGTCCATAGAATCAGAATCTTGTCTACATAATGGGCATATAGATGGGAATATAGACTGTTGAAACCTTCCTAAGTTATTCGGAAATGGAAGAAATATATGTAAAACCTTTGATGGATAGTGTACCCGGGGGTAGCTTATCTGAGGGGTTATTATGGTGAATAACCTAGAGAGAAGTCAGAGCAATAAGTAAGAGAGAGAAAGTGTGTTCGAATATGTGAGCTTGTGATGATTTTCAATGGAGAAATGGGCTGCTATTTATAGCAGCAATAAATGCTGGACAGGGGCACGTGTCAAGCATTCGATGGCTGGGGGTCACCTCAATCGGGGTGGCACCGGCATTTGCATGTGGCCGCATTAAATGCGGTGGTTGGATGTGACATTGTACTTGGTACGGTGGTTCAGGCGCATGTGGAGAGGATATTCTGTCGAGGGAGGTGCCTTTGGCTGAAGGATGTTGGGCCAAAGGCTCTTCTAACTGGGGGCCGAGGGCTATAAGTGCCGAAGGCTTAGTTTTCAAGCCTTGTTCTCCTGTGATGTTTCTAAGCTCAATTCTGTCAACGGTAGCCTTCGGTCATGGGGCCGAAGGCACCCCCTTGTGTATTGTGGGCTGCTTAGAGCTTTATTTTGCTAGGCTTGGCCCGTTTGGGCCTGTTGGGCCTGATTGCAGTTGTGGAAGTATGTGGGTCGGGGGCCCCTGGGCCATATACTCCATCAGGAGTCCATCACTCCTTTTGTCGAAAGGTACTTGAGGGAAAAGTAGTAATTGTGTTTGTCCTATGATGCTAGTGTTTGTTTCGTTGCTGTTTGTAGAGTTGTGAGAGGTTTGTGTTGCTTGTTGTACCGAGGGCAATCCCTCAGTCCCCCACATTTCGGGACTGAAGGACGTTGATGCTCTGGGAGAACTTTTAACATTTTGTGATTTTCCCGAAGGGGTTCCCCAGTCCCCCACTCCTTAAGGCATATGTAATGTGGTGAAAAGGAGTAGAGCGATGCTATTTTTAGCATAGGACCGAGGGCTGATGCTTTTCGCTTCATTTTGGGGGGATGTCTCGTTAAAAACCTCATTAGGAAAAACCCTGTGGTAAATCCTAACGAGGTAAAAAAGAGTGCACCGGGTTCCCCCAATGATAAATCGAAAAGGTGGACCCGTGGTCTTAGCATGATGTTGAGGCCGAGGGCTGTCTGTGCTCTGAGGGTATTCTCGATGATTGGCCGAAGGCTTCTTGTGGATATTCCGGGGATGCCGAGGGGGGCCCTCAGTCATTGTGGGCTGAGGGCATGATGAATGTAGGTGATAGTTCTTGTGTTACCGAGGGGTCCCCTGGTTCTCAATATATAGAGGGCTAAGGGTTACCGATGGGTTCCCATCTTTATGGTGGGGCTTACCCTCGATGAAGGAGTCTGAAAGAGTTAGCCCGAAGGCTTGCATAGTTGTTGTCTGAGGGGTGCCAGCTGGGATATGACCGTTTGGAATATGACCGTTGGAGGTGGGGTCCACGTGGCGTACTCTGGATTGTTGGCTTCGGGCGGGTGTCACCGGTTGGCGGAGGCGGCGGTTCGTAGTGATGATTTTTGCAATCGGGGGCCCGGTTCTCGGCCCAAGCCCGGATTGGGGAGGCTATAAATACCCCATGACCAGGGTCATTCTTCCTGTGCGATTTCATTTGTAGCGAAGCTCTGCCGATTTTTCTAGAGAGATAAACACCTGCCTTTGATCAAATCAAGCTTTCTGAGGTCAGTTCTTCACATGCTCTTTGCTTCATTAGTAAGTATTGCTTCGTGGCATTAGATCCTTAGGAAACTCTCTCCCCTCGAACCTTTCGGCTTTAGTATTTAGAAATGTCTTCGCAAAGCGATTCCCAAGACATCTCGAGGGAGGCCTCGGTTGCTATCGAGAGCCTATCTGAGGTCGAGTCCTCAAGCGAGCATTTGTCAGTCAACTATGATCTCGCAGTAGCTAAGGAGGTACAAAAAAGCCTTCAGATCGAATTGGAGGCCGAAGACTTCGAGCAAGTGTGCGAAGACGAGGAGCTGGCCATTGCCTTCCAGGTAGCTGAGGAGGAGGCACAAAAAGAGAGGATGAAGGTCACCATTGTTGTCCCACCCCCTCGAAACGATACTGAGACCGGGAGCTCTCGGCCCCTTAACCCGGAGCCTCTTAAGGTGGCCCGAGGGAAGAAGAAAAAGAAGGTGAAGGCTGCACCGAAGAAGAAACAAGCCTCCGTCGATGCTGGGCAGCTGGTGGGCATACCCGAAGGCTATTCCTTCCTAAACACAGCTGCCTTAGAGGTGAAGACCAAAGCCACACAGGGAGAGTACATGGCGACGCAGTTTCGGGCTGAGCCCTCGGTGCTGGTGGTGGAGCCGGGGCCAGATGATGTGCTATTACATGCCCCCGCCGGTTGCTTCTCGGTACATATACTCTCGGTGGAGTTGGGCCTCCGGTTTCCACTTCACCCCTTCGTGCTTCAGTACCTTCGTTTTGTCAAGCTCGCCCCCTGCCAGTTGACCCCGAATAACCACTCTTATCTGGCCGGTTTCCTCTCTCTTTGCCGGAGCAGGAGCGTGGAGGCCACCTTAGATCAATTCTTCCTCTCCTTCAACCTATGCCGGGGGGTCACTCAAACGCCGGAGGCTTCACCAATATGCAGCAGATTCCAGAGTTTAGGCTTTTTGATGAAGTCCCTTCGTCCCATAAGGGATGGAAGGATAAGTTCTGTTATATCCGCATGGCGGAGAATCCTTTCCTCACTCCTCTTCGTGACAACTTCCGGTGACATCCGAAGGCGGAGGGTGCCGCCCTCGAGAAAAATGGGAGAAAACCGTCCAAGAAACCAAAGGGGTCCGACAAACACGTGTTGATCAGAGATGCCACCCATCCGGACGAACTATATCTCCTTGGTTTCCGGCAATTCCGTCTGGCGGGGGAGAAAGATGAGAGATATTCCTTGATTGATCGGGTCTTCCAAAGTGCCAGAGGTTGTTGCCGAGGGCTTTTCTTTTTATACTTAGGATTTTTCCCATGACCTTGTTGTAGTAGTATTTTAACACATGTGTTCTCCTTGTTTTTCAGGACCATATATGGACGCCAGGAATCTCGCCAAGCTAAAAAGGCAACTGGCTAAGGAAAGCAAGAAGAAGGAGGCCCCTGTG